TCTCTCTGCTTCACAAACTGTGGTTTTATTCAGGAGAAAAACCCTACGAGTGCTCCCATTGCAAGAAGCGCTTCTCCCACTCAGGCTCGTACAGCTCCCACATCAGCAGTAAGAAGTGCATCAGCGTCATCTCAGTGAACAGCAGACAGCGCTTGGGGAGCAGCAGAAACCAGGCCCAGGGCTCATCACCGGGGCTACCCACATCACCGTCGGCCCGCTGTGGACAGATTAGAGAGAAAATGGAGCACAGTAGGCCCCTCCAGGAGCAGCTACCCCTCAACCAGATCAAAACAGAACCTGTGGAGTATGAGTACAAGCCGGCTGTAATAACGCCGCCGGCAATGGCCACTATGAACGGTGGGGTTTTTGGCGGAGGTGCCGCCGCCCCTCTGCAGGGTACCGTACAGGCGGTGGTCCTGCCCACAGTGGGGCTGGTGTCACCGATCAGCATCAACCTGGCGGACCTTCAAAATGCCCTCAAGGTGGCAGTGGATGGTAATGTTATACGGCAGGTCCTGGAAAACAACGCCAAAGGCCAGGTGAATTCAGGCCTCACAACTGGAACGCTCCACCCCCCTCAGCAGCAGCTCATCTCAGCCATCAGTCTACCGATCGTCGGGCAGGATGGGAACGCAAAACTTATTATTAACTACAGTTTGGACCCCAACCAGGGCCAGCTCACACCCCACAACCTGAAGAAAGAGCCCCTGTCTCCGGCTCAGAGTGCCACTGACTCTATCAAGTCCCAGAAACTTCCAGAGGACCTCTCTGTCAGAGGCAGCAGGGACCAAGAGACAAAGCAGAAAGAGGAAAAGACCACTAAAACCTGTCTCCTCTGTGAGAACTGTCCAGGGGGGCTGGAAGCACTCCATGCCCTTAAGCACTGCAAGAAAGAGAACCTCAGACTGAACGGGGCAGGATTAGACAAATCAGAGGCTGTTGCCGCTTTGCTGTCAGAAGGAGGACTCTGCAACCACCCTAAGAACCTCCTATCGCTACTAAAGGCATATTTTGCCTTAAATGCAGAGCCCTCCAAAGAGGAGTTGGTCAAGATCTCCGACTCCGTCAGTCTGCCAGTCAATGTGGTAAAGAAATGGTTCGACAAAATGCAGCAGGGACAGATATCACTGGGTGCCCCCACGCCTCCCTCGGAGGAGGAGGACTCATGCGAAGCTCACAGCGTGGTGTCATTGGTCCCGGGGAAGGATTTGGCCGCTATAAGCAGTTCTGTGAGCCAGGACAGCCCCACGGAGGCTACGCCAGCCGAGGTCAACGGCGCGCACAGCTCACCTGCCTCGCCCTCTCCGATAAACCTTACAGCCGGCTGTCCCGCCCAAGCCGATACCCCTGAGAGCACTGAGGGACCACTGGACCTGTCGCTGCCAAAGCCTGCCAGAGACGAAGCAGAGAGCATGGTGCCCCCAGCCCGAGTTTACCCCTCTGCTTCCTCCTGCTCGACCAACGAGGAAGAACCTCTGAACTTAACTTGCACAAAGAAGGACACATTGCCACTCTCCGCCATGGGGGGCAGCCCCCTGGCGTTGTACGCCAACCAGCCAAGTGCCAAACCCCTGGACATCGTAGCCACAATGCAATGCCTGCAAGCACTGACCACCACCAACAATAACAGCAAACAGACTATCCTGATCCCCCAGCTGGCTTACACGTACACCACTACAGCTAACAGCCCTGCAGGGACAGAGACGCACGAAACCATCCACCTCAATGGGATCAAGGTGCGTGGCCATCACTGGCCCCTGGCTTTAAAGGAGTCATAACCTGGTATTTTATACATAAAAGCCTACTAAAATCGTCTTTTATTTCATGTTTTGCCATTTTTAGAGGAATCTATATTTAAAAAAAGCTTATTTAGACCACTTTTTATATATTTTTTGTTTTTGTGAGGGTAGGTATATGACCAATCATGTGGATATAGTGTTAGCACAATTAGCATTTAGCCACAGTTTGTTTACCATGGTTTTGTATTTTTTTGTTATTTTATTTTGTCGAACACAATCAGCCCAGATCTCTAGCAGATGTAGTCATGGTTTCAACTTATCTTTCAGAGCTGCTAAAATTCAAAATCACAGTGAGCTGAAGCTGTTTAATCGTTGACGCTAAAACACGCCATCAAAGTTAGGGGGCGGGGTTAACGCGAATCGAGTCGCCACCTTCTGTATCAGAGTATGTTCACAACCTGTGGATCTCAGTCTCTGTAATCGATTAGCTTCGCCTTAATGTGCAGGGTGACCAATCAGGTGTTAGATAACCCCGCCCCCTAACTTTGATGGGTGAGTTTGAGAGATTCTGTGAATGGTTTCGATGCACTGCGACACAGGACCATGAAATAATTAAATGCACACTGAAATAATTATATATATATTTTTTAAATAAAATAAAGACGTATTTTATTAAATTAATGAAACATTTATATATTTAATTCCTTATTTATTGAATGAATTACACATTTAATTAATTGTTTATCGCTGTATTTATTTATTTAATTGTGGCACTTTATATTAGTGACGTGGTTTTAAATTAATGAATGACACATTTATTTATTTAATTCCACATTTAATTAATTAGTGACACATTTAATTATTTATTTAATGCTGTATTTATTTATTTAATTTTGGCACTTTTTATCCTCCATAGATAAACTCTTGTGTAGGAGGTTTAGTAAAACTTGAAGCTCTTAATGAGAGGAGGAAGGACGGCTGTAAATGTGAGGCTGTCCCTCAGAGGACACGCAGCTGCTCTCTGCTGCACACACCCTATTGATCCGTTGGAATCGGGCGGAAAGCAGCACCTCTGCCTGCCCAATCGATTTCCTGTTGTTGTATCATACTTTTGTGTTAAGTGGATTGGCATAGATCGGCCTTGTAAAACACAAATGATGCCAAACATCCCTTTGCTGCAGCAGAGGGGAATGTTGTCTCAGATAGTGAAGCGTTTTGTTTTTGTGACGAAGGTATGAAGCCGTCCTGAATCACTGCTCTATGAGGAAGGACGCATTTTAACCTGATGTCTGATTTCTCAGGAAGAGAGGCTGGATCTGGGCTCGGAGGGCTTCTCGGCCCTGGATGAGCAGAACGACTCGGACTCCGGACCGGCGAGGAAGAAGATGAAGAAGACGGACAGCGGCATGTACGCCTGCGACCTGTGTGACAAGATCTTCCAGAAGAGCAGCTCGCTGCTGAGACACAAATACGAACACACAGGTAAATGTTTAAACAAAGAAAAAAAGACATAAACCAAACCCCTGTGGGATGAGTCAGAGCGCTAGCAGAGGGGGATTTTGAGCTGGAAGAAGGGTGGACACCCCCATTCCAGCAGGTATTACTCAACACTCACAGAAGAGGTCTGAGAATTTATTTCCACCAACTCCCCGTCTCGCCGCTGCCAGTTTCTCATGTACGGCTCCGCATGTTGCAAGGAGTGAACTCTGGTAGTGATTTGGAGCACTTCAAGATGACTATTCGGCGGCCAAGCTCAGGTCAGCGCTCTCAGAGGCGTTTTCTTTTTCTTTATTACTCCGATACCTGGCTCTGACGCCCGGTTTTCAGCTCCAAGTGACCTCATCTTAGGTGAAACTAAGCTGCTTGTGTTGAAATGTTCTCCTTGGATACGCTGATGATGGAGCACGCTTTCAGGGTGTAGGAACATGCGGGGGATTGTTTGTTTTCCACTCATCCCTCCGTTTAGCAGTCTTCAGATTTCTTTAAATATCTAAAGTCCATTTTCAGTCCCAAGCGTTTCAGATGAGAGCTGGTGTTAGCAGACATCCCTGCTGATCCTCATGTGCGTCGCCGTCCCTAACAACCGCCCACACCTGCAGGGTTCCCGCGGTTCCTTAAAAAGTCTTAAAAGGCATTGAATTCTTCAAAATAAAACTAAGGCCTTAATTGGTATTAAAATGTCTTAAATCAATCTTTTGTAAGTCTTAATTTTTAAAACATCATAAATAAGATTATTTTTATTACCATTTATTTTTGTAATCTAAATAAAATGATAAAATTTAGGTTTTCTTTTTTTTTATAAAAAAAAAAAAACAACGGCTCCCCATTATTGGTTCCGTCCCGATAGCGGAACCAATAAATCGTTGTTGCGGCCGGGACATTTGGGAGATGCGGCATTAAATTTTTGTCTGGAAAATATGAGAAAGTGTAAATGTAAGAGGGGTGGAACGGTTCACAAAATCCACGGTTCGGTTCGGTTCACGGTTTCGTGGTCACAGTTTTCGGTTCGGTTCGGTATATGTTGATTGTTACACCGAAAAAAAAATAAAAATAATAAAAATTAATGAAACACTACACTCGGCTACGCTGCTTCGCTTCTTCTTCTTCTTGTTTACTACTGGTGGTTGGCTTTGGTCGCAGTACCGCCACCTTCTGCTCTGGAGTGAAAACGCTTCGCCTATGAGAAAATGGAGCAGCGCATGAACCGAACGCAACACACGCAAATCGAAGACAGTCGAACCCAACGGTTCGGACGGTTTTCAAAAACCGTTCCATCCCTAAAATGTAACGAAAATTGGTTATCCAGCCAAGAGTTTTCTCCATGGCTAAAACCAGGGAACATACATGAGGCACAGAGTAACACAGGAACGATGGGATTTAAGGCAGTGGAGTCGCGCATGCGAAACGCGAAACACAAAGCGTCAAAATCAAGTTACAGAGAAACAGCCGGTATTTCTCAGTTTAGTTCCACCCTTGTCTCTGCAACGCCTCCACGGACATAAACGTGTGTCTGCTGATCAAACTACATCATTATTCAGACATTACATTAGCAAAGGTTTATATTCTCATCGGGGTTAGTCGATTGGTCCATCAATCTTTTAGATAGCAGAAGAAATGTCAATGCAGTAAACTATGTATAAAAAAACAAAACTACAATATCATTTAAATTACCAAAAGACATCATTTTACAGTAAATAAATCTTTTAACCCTTTATAGGGCAAGTTACCATTTTAGATCACTTACAAATGGAGCCCCCCCGTCCCTCAGTGAGGTCTAGAAGCACAAGATCTACATCCAGCCATTCAGCAAAGATCCTGCTACATGGCTGCATATCATCTTATTGAAATTTAGCCAATTAGATGAACCCTTGATTAATATATTAATGCCTCTAAGGTTATATTTTTCATGAATTTCTCATAGAGGCACTTTTGTTATTTTTTCTTAAAGGGGAACGCCGTTTTTTTTTTTACATTGGGCCCTTGATTTTACGTTATTACATCATGTTCTACTCACACTTATGAGTTTTATGTCATTTGGAGCCGTTCTGAAGATTTTCCGTTAGGTTCTATCTAGGGGTGGGTATTGGCAAAGAAGTCACGATGCGATTCTATCACGATGCATCACGATACTAGAAATTTTGCGATGCGTTGCGATATTTTCACTGAACACTGTAAGAAAAGATACAGCCCTTACCAGTGGCTGACTGGCTGGGTGTGATCTGGATAGTGTCTTCAATCGATACATAACTGAAAGCAGCTGAATTCATACATAGCTGTATTTATTGAAACGACTTTTGGAGGTGTTGCCATGGAAACAAATACTGGACAGAAGTATTACTATTACTATGACAAAAAGATCTTAGGATTCATCAAACTTAAAATAACAAAATAAGGATAATCAGTGCCGATTACATGGCCTCAGTGGCCCATTTGCAAATGACGTGCATCATATCAATTTCATTTTTACCTTCTTTGTTTTTAAAGCCAAAATGCATCCAAGCATCTGACTTGAAATGTGATGGAGCCG